GATGAATGTCCATTTTGTATCTGTGTATTCAATGTGGTTAGGATAGATGTATAGTTGCATTCTCTTAATGAATAGAATGATTTGTTCTAATGGTGTTTGTAAATAGAATCCCAAGTCCGCATCTTGTACAGCAGTTAATTACTAAGAAGAATATATGCAGTATGTTATTTGTTGAATCTGTACTTCTGATTTGATTTAAAACTGTCGCATTGCTATCTGGTTATCAATAGAATTTTGAAAAAAAATAACACAGATATTGAAACTATATGATAAAGGGTGAAAAGCAGCCATCATAAAAACGGCTCAATGAATTGTAGAAACATTAAAACAATTATAAATTATCTTGCCAAAGTATATTTTAAAGTTTCATTCAAGAAACAGAAAACAGGAGACATTAAAAAGGTGAATAAAGATTAAAGATATAAGGGTACAACTTTTAAAAACTTAATAAATAAATAGCTCAACACCCAAATGCAGACAACGAGAAGAAAATCAGTAAACTGGAAGATAGTGTAAAAGACACCGCCGAATATGAACAATAGAAATAAAACAGAAGTAGGTAAACAGAGCCTCCTTAATATTGGGAACCATAACAAAATATCTAATATTCATGTCATTGAAGGCTGGTAAATAGGAGAAAACTGGGCTGAGACATTTGAAAATCTGCCAAATGATGTAATCTACAGATTCAAGGAGGTAGATGAACCCAAACTGGGATAAATCAAAAATCCACTCCAAAGTTTGTCATCAGAAATATAGCAATGAAACACAAACAAAAAGCTTGACTGAGAAAAAATGGAAGCTTATATCTGCATACCCTAAGACTAACAATTAATGCAGAATGTTACCTATGAATCAAAGAAATGATTCAAATGATGATGAATTTCTCATCAAAAAACATAACAGCCAAAAAGAGTCAGGACAACAATTTTTAAGGGCTAATGAAAGTAAATGTCAACATGTAGATTTCTGTGTCCAAAATCCTCCATCCAGTGAAAGTACCTCTTAGGACTGAAGAGGAAATAAAGACATCCTCAGATACAGAAAAAGTGAGAATAAGACATCAACACACCTATTCTGAAAAGACAACCA